GACTAAGGTTTGGGTTTGGTGTGATGTGAGATATTTATACCTGTTTTGCTTAAATTTTGGTCGTTCATCGCTTTTGATCTCGACCGTCCAATCGTGTTTAAAAAGAAAATGAATCTGAATCGTTCGTCGCGATTTGATCTCGACCGTTCGATTGCACTTAAAGATGGAACGAATCTGGGCTGTTCATTGTGTTTAATTGCGATCATTCGATCGCGCTTGAGGAGAGAATTGATCCGGACCGTCCACTCACGTGGGAAAGCTTCAGGGCCATCCGATTGCAGGCATGCAGATTGCCGGCGGGACCTCCCGTGTGGCACCGAGTTAGCGTGCTTTGCCACACGGCGCGCTTCGGTTATTCGGAGCTACTGACTGAGCGGTCCTACATGACACAATTTTTTTAATTGCGTTTTGGCCCCCAGTTTTCGATTATTCTTTCAAAAACATCATCCAAACCTAAATTTTTATCTTTTTTTTAAAAAAGTTGTTTTCAATTTTATTCTTAATATATTTTTTTCTTAATTTCACATTAAATAAAAGGGTATTACAAAATCAGACCGAAAGGAGTTCATTTCCAGCAAATTTTAGGTTCATTGTCTGTCAAAAGAACAGATACATGATGGCTAAATTCCTCTGGTGATACCTTGGGCTATATTTGGACAAATTATTTGTAGAATTTATTCAAAAAGTCATTCTTATTTTAGCTAGGGAAGGATGAAAAATTCTTACAAAATGATAAGATTTACCTTGTCGGTAATTATAATTAGAATTTAGACAAACCATTTCAAATTCCATCAAGAATTGCAGTTTTTCATGCTTAATATGAGGATGGATCTTTTTAGCTTAAGAAAAAAGCAATGGATTTCCAGATGGATTCCACAATGAAATTCATTTATACCAAATAGCCCCAATCTTAAGTAATAAATGCATTATTTACTTGTCACCCCATTTAATGCGGATGCATTTGCTGTTAGCTATTGTTTGGCAGGTACCAGGCTGATGAGCAGGCATGGGTGGATACTATTAAATCTGTTGGAGATGGAGCAATTGTAAGGATAAACACCATGGACTGGCTTGGTCAATCCCAATATACAAAGCAAACAATTTACTGGTCATCTCTTTCTTCTGCCGTATCAGAGGTGCCTCCTGACACACTTAACTCTTCTGTCTATCCTTTGCTGCTGTTATGAATAATTAGTTACTAAATTAGCGTGCAAAGAAAACCTTTAGTTGCTCCTCTCGTAAAAAAAATTTGATGGTTGATGACTAAAAATCAACTAGTTTCAAAAACGGAGGTCATATTTGAAACAGATCAATTTGAAAATTTCATACATTAAGCGTGTATGAGAATCTTATCTGAAGTAATAAACTTGAAATTCAATTTCAAGTTTAACTGAGAGATAATGAACTCCAAATTTACTTAAAAATCCGCATATTTTAATTTTTATCATTTTCTAATAAATTTTAACATCTCTTCATTGAACTGAAGTGTTAATTTTCAAGTGAATCCTTCAAAAAAGAATTCTTGATTCATCCCAAACATAACCCAAAAAGCATCATTGATCTATTTTTCTTGCTAGGCATCTGCACCTTGGTTATTGATCTTTCTGTTTTTTATGCCCCCATCTTTCTCAATGTATATCCAAGCTAAAGTTTTTCTTTTCCTTCTCGTAATTTTTAAAATAACAGGTGATATTCTCCAAACATGCCAAAGTGAAAATTTTGGTGGCATACTGGGCACATTTTATCAGCAACACAGATCAGTATCTGAAGTCTCTTCTATACAGCAATGTCCTCTGCTCCTCTTCAAAGTACAACAAATGCTCTGGCAAAGTCGAGATCAAGTACTACAGGGTACCAGGTTACAACCTGACTGGACCTGCAACTAGCAACGGAACCAACACCGGAAATATCTATCCGGGCTTCACGAGAGTAAATCACGGAAAGTATGCAGTGAGTGATGTACGAGCCCATATAGGTACCAGCAATCTTATCTGGGATTACTTTTATACTACAGCCGGTGTTAGCTTTGGCACATACAATCCCTCCATTGTTTCACAGCTTCAAGAAATCTTTGATGCTGACTGGAATTCACCATATGCAACTCCCATTGAGGAAATTGGTGGAGCTCATGTTTATTCTGGCAAATAAATGTTTGATGGTATTCTAGTTTTAGTTTAGGGAGGACAAAATAGCAGTTGAACCTCCGCACTCTATGTTAAAATAAGTGAATTATATAAATTTACAAGTCTTTTAAAAGAAAATAAATGCATTTTATTGAAATATATAATAATATAAATTTTTAATAAATAATTATAAAAAAGTATAATTTAATTCAAATTCATAATTTTTTATATAAAAAAAAAAAGAAATGTCAACTTTAATTTTGATAAAAAATCTGATTATTTTATTTGAATTTATCTGGACTAGAAACTAGCTTAATGTACATCTAAATACAAATTTATAAAAGTTCAAAATTAAACAAATTGAAGTAAGAAAAAGAAATATTGTCGTGTAATTGTTTAGATAATAAACAATTTTATAAAAAAAAACAAAACATAGTTACTGAACTGTTAAAAAAAAAAAAGAAAAAGACCAAGTTATGGTAGAACTGTAATTTGAGGTAATTTTTGAGAAACCATTGTGTTAAAATTTAACCTACGCAAGTGTTTCCATTTTACCGACGGTGAAGGCAAACTGGAGATGGCAACATGGATGAAACCGAATTTGGTTTGGGACGGGCTAACGGGTCGGATCGAATTTGGTTGGGGTCGGGTTCATTAATTCGAATTCAGGTCCTGAATCTTTATGGCCCACAACTACCGCGTATTGAATCCTGTTTTGTCTGTTTGCAGAACCAACTCTCGACCTCAATTGCTTCCAAGAGAAAGAGGATTTCTTTTATTCACTCTGACTCTCAGAGAAGAAACTCCGATTCCTTACCCTCTCTCGCTCTCTCTCGTTTATCTTTGCAACATACAAAACATCTTTATGGAGAAGAAGATTTGTATGAGGAGAATCCGTTCATCATCATCACCATCAACGTTGAGGTCGTCGTCGGAATCTGTTTTCGGAGTGAAAGCTCGGGTACAACTACAGCCGTACAATCTTTTGGTTTCTTTGGTATCTCAGCCCTCTGATCGATTGACACCTTGGTTCCATCTTCCGAAATAGCACCCAATCTATTTCTCGTTCGTCGTCTCCATTATTGACCCGAGAATACAACAATTAATCAAGAAGGTTTAGTTCATCTTCTTTGTTATCAATAGCGCGGTTCTTTTCCCACTTGTTTTCATGGAGAATTTGAATTTGAAATATGTTTGAGTTTATTTTTGGTTAGTTGATTACATTGGTAGTTTCTAGTTACAATCTCAAGTTGAATGAAGAATTATGTTATTAAAAAAGAAAAAAAAGCTTTTTTGTCAGTGAAACAAGCGTGCCCATTACTGATCTGTAATCAATACTGATAAAGAAAGTCAAAAAGCTCGGATATTTGATTTGGAATTTGTTTTAGACAGCGTAGGAGATTAATGACATAATTGGGTGGAGAATCGTAGTCTAGTAAAACTATAATATGTCCGTACATTCGTTTGATTCCTAGAGTCAACGACTCGGTGCTTGATCAGTTGACTTGTGTATTCTGGAGACTGGAAGCTGCTTTTGTTGTGACTTAACCTCTCTCTAGACTATGCGATCTAAGAATGATAACTGCAAATATGTGTTTAATTAATTTTTTATTTTTCTCCCGTAGTCAGTTGAGTATTTGTTTCCTCATAAAAGTTAATTCTTTGTTTTGTGTTTTGCTCAGCTTAAAGTGGTTTATCAACCTGTGATGCTTACCGAATGAATGCTTCTGCAAGCTCATCCAATATGAAGACGTCGCAGACACGGACTAAATCATCTGGCTGGGCTGCCTTTAACATCAAGCAGCGAGAGAAGCAAACCCTCCCACCAAAAGTCAATAAAGATCCTTTCCCACCTATCCCGGGCACTTCATCCACTCTGGATCCCTCAAGAAACTTAGCCAAAGTTAATCATCTTTCAATAAAGTCCTTTTCATCTGTGCTTGCACCTTCTGTGGAGTTTCCACCCTTGGCAAAGAATAATGATCGGAAAAACCAAGTTCATGAGAGTGGTTATGTTAGTCACCATAATGATAAGGTTCTTGAGGAAGAAACTCGTGATTTGGCTTTTAAAATGCTCAAAGAGATGCACTGTTGGGCAGATGATCGCTTGATTGAGGATGTATATGTTGCTACAAATAACAATTTCGAGAAGGCATTAGCTTTGCTGGAAGGAATGGTTTCCTCCAGTAGCTCTGAGGAGAAAGAGGAAACAAGAACTTCAGAAAGGAGTTCAATGATTAACGAGTTCCAATACAACAGAGAAGGAGACAGAAGTTCTTTACCAGGGAAGACGACTAAGCTTACTGATATAAGCTCGACAATTTCAGATGGTCTCAAAGGCACTGATAAAGATCTGTCAGATGGACATGCTTCGGACTTTGAACTGATCATGGAGTGCTTAAAGTCTATGCCTATTGAGCCTGACTGGGAAGAGGATGATATTTACTTAAGCCATCGGAAAGAGGGGCTCAGAATGATGAGGTATATGCTCTTTATGATTGAATAAGTTTGAATCTTCAATTTATTTTTTCTGCTGGGCCGCCATTGAATGGCATTTCTTCCAGGTCTGCTGTATTAAATGCATGACCATGACCATGACCATTTATATTTCTCATGAACGATGAATGGGTCGAGTTCAACTTAAGTCACTTCTTCTCAACTCAGCTTCAGGTTAAGTTGCAATACTGAGGTCATGGCTTTTGAAGTAGTTGGGACCATAAGTTTAGTCTTCCAGTAGCACATCTATTCTAATTCACTATTTATATTTCTCATGAAAGTAAACTTCAGAAAATGAGGGTGAAAAGTCAAGGATGATTTATTTCACATAAGACCTACTGAAAATCATGGTATCCTTAAGTCTTGGAAGGTAAAACAACAATTTATGAAATGTTGGCATAAAGTTTTCTGCACAATAGTTGAGATGGATTTTCAGTTGTTTTGGGTTTGATTAGATCGGTGATTTACAAATGGATCTTACAATTTTTTTGAAATCCATTTATTCCATATACTCTGTAAATGCTTGTGAGAGGACAACTGATTTGATTATTTTTGCTCGTTTTACATGATGGAATCAAATTCTCAATGAGAAGTAGAGCCATGTAATCAACTCATTTCATGATGGAATTAGCTGTGTATGAGTTGTCCCTTTAATATCTTATTTCTCTCCTGTGATCATGGTGAATTTAAGGATGAATAGTTTATCCGTACCATGTGGTACATAGTGAGATATCATATTATTTCTTTTGAACAGGTCAGCATCACAGCATTCGAGGACAGCCAGTAATGCCTTTTTGAGAGGCGATCATTATGCAGCTCAGCAGTACTCACTAAGGGCTCAGGAAGAATGGTTAGCTGCTGAGAGGCTTAATGACAAGGCAGCTAAAGAGATTCTAAGCATCAGAAATAGCAGAAACAACATCTGGAAATTGGATTTACATGGTCTTCATGCAGCAGAAGCTGTTCGAGCCGTGCAGGAGCATTTGCAAAAGATTGAGACCCTGGTAACATTCAGTCATTCAGTATCCCCAACTAGAGTCCAGGAAAAGAATGGGATCACACGCAGTCCATCATTTGAGTCTTTTGATAGTATGAAAGTGGAGAACTCACATAAGATTCGGGCACCATTTAAGCAGAGACAAACAACATTAGAAGTTATAACAGGTACCGAGGGCTATGTTTGGTTTTACTATCAATTTTTCGTAATAGAGTATGACTACAAGTTAAAATTATTCTTTTGAACTAATTGTACAACAACTGGGTGTTTAAGACAGATGAAAAATATTTGGACTAAATTGTAACAGAAAAATATTATGGACTAAATTATGAAAAATGTTAACCTTCAAGGACTTATTTAGTAATTTGTCCAAATTCTAGTTCCAGGAATAAAGAATTAGGGATAAAATGGAATTGATATAAATGGGTTGTAAATGACTTCAAAGGAGCACGTAAACAATATTATCTGCTCTTATTTGAAGTTTCATTCTGCAAATGCATAATGTGAAAGAACACTGATTCCCACTGTTTTCTCTTCCATAGGCATAGGTAATCATAGCCGAGGACAAGCTGCACTTCCTACGGCAGTGAAGAATTTTCTTAATGAAAACAGGTGAAGCATTTTCCATTACATAACAACTTCATCTCTTCCCACTTCCCCTCTCTCTTTTCTCACTGGATTTGCGAGAATAATTTGGAATGAACGGAGGCAACATGTAAATTAGTTTGCTTGTTTTTCAGATACCGATTTGATGAGGCAAGACCTGGAGTAATCTCAGTTCGGCTAAAATTTCGTCACAGGTGAATCAGAGATTGAGTTTGATTCCTGCAGCCAACTGACTCAAGGCAGGATTTTTTCCTAAACCTCCAAGAATGGAAACCAAGTCTTGATGATTCAGACTAGAGCCATGTATATTACTTCGGTAAATTACATTAGAGGGATTTATTTCCCTGCTTAGATTTTATTGACACTCTTTACATTTTTAGCTGCAGTAGACAACTATTTGTATCATAGCATGGTATTATGGACCAATTCTACCATTATTATTGTTTATTATGAGCTTGAGGAACTCTCATGTGTTTTAGTTTAATGCACGAACTTCTACATCTCAGGCACTATTTTAAGAGATAAAATTACTTTTTTATATCTTAAAACATATACATATATATATTATCTAATGACAGCAATATAAAAATTAATATTTTCTAAAAGAACAAAAAAATAAAAATTATATATTTAAACATAAAAAGTAAAAATATTAAATGAGTTTGATAATAATAAAATTTCATTTAATATTTAAATAAAAAAACTGGCATATAGAAATATATCTACTCAAAAACACGTATATATTACTCATTTTTAATATTTGTAATCTATTCTTAAATATCTAAATCAGTTATGGGCAACCAAAACCACTAATCTTGGATCATAAAAAAAAAATGGACTGGTTAGGGATTGCTCATGTTATTCTTAGCATTCATGTATTTAGTCAATAAAAGGAAAAAGAAAATGAAAAGCTTTTATAAGCTCAAGTAAGTAACTTCCACTTTAAATTTAATGGAGGATTCCAAACACGTTTATGGACTTGGATTACAGTTGGTTTTGGGCTGTCAAAAATTTGGGGATCCATGATTGAAGTGTTATTCTCGACCCGTGAACCGATCCAACAAATCCAGAACTCGGTTGTTCGATCCGTTTTCAACCAAAAGCAGACGAGAGAGACTGACTCCCTCCTTGATCACAAACCCGAAACCCCCACCTGTCACAAAGGTTGAAGGAACTGTCGGAGTAGGGCGGGCAGCCAGTGTGGACACGAGCCGTCGTCTTCACTTAGAAAATCTAAAAGAAGAGGAAAGCGAGGATCAAAACATGCAGAGAGTGAAAGCTTTGGTAACAGTGAGACATTCCCTTCAAGGTGTCCGGTCTTTCGCCAATCAGAGAAGCTTTTCTTCTCAACCAAACTATGCTTCGGATGTTGATACGCAAGAACAGGTCATTTAGTTCATATAATGTAGATTGTATGTATGAATATTTGCAGTCTTCTTCGACTTTAACAGTTTTTATGTGCGAAATTGCTCAATCATGCTTATATTTTGTAATTTCTTTTGTTTCTGTGCCTTAATTTCTGTATTGCTTGATTTATTTTCAGCAGAAATGGAGCAAACTATTTCCTTTGTTTTTTGGGAAATGTTATTTATCATGTTTTTATGATTTTAGGTTTTAGTAGAAGGAAGAGCTAAATCTAGAGCTGCCATTCTCAACAGACCCTTTGCTCTTAATGCCCTCACCTCTTCAATGGTTTGTTCTCTTTTTTTCTGGATGTTCATTGTCATGGGTATGAAGTAAGGTTTTAAGACAGACTTGATTCTTTGTTTTTCTACCTCTTGAGTTATAGGTGGCTCGGTTGAAGAGATTATACGAGTCATGGGAAGAAAACCCGGATATTGGATTTGTTCTGATGAAGGTATGATTATTTAACATTGTATTTATACACCTAAGAACAAGTAGTGTTCTTGATAACTTAGTGGGCATGCTCAAACTCATTCTTGAAAGCATTTTTGTCACTTATTTAAATTAATGAAATTTGATGAACTTGCATGAAGTGCTTTAAGAGATGGATCAGACATTTCCATCATGTCATTTTTCATGTCTAAGCTGCCATCTTGAATTTCCTTGAAGGGTAGTGACCGAGCGTTTTGTTCAGGAGCAGATGTAGTTACTCTCTATCAGTTGATTAGTGAAGGTAGGTTACCACTAAGTTTTGTAAAAGTTGATTCAGACAGTGCAATTTTTGTTCCTGCATTCAATAGCTGGCCAGGGTTGGTAGATATCAATTATCTGCTGTAAGTGAGAATGGATATATGGATTTCCAAATAACAAGTCATCAGTGTGCAAATTTTTCGAAGGCTCATAGGCATGCATACTTGATAATTTGCAACTAATGTTACATTGACTGCTCTATTTTCATAGCTTGAAACTCCTTGTGTAATGTTTCTTCTGCTTAAATTACATTATTGCTGTTTTTGCAACAAAAATGACTAGTATACTTACTAATGCTGTCATACATGCAGGAAATGTTGAAGAATGTAAACAGTTTTTCAATAAGTTATACAAGTTTGCGTACCTGCAAGGGACATATTTAAAACCACATGTGAGCACCCGGCCTGCTTTATTTGTTTCTATATGTCCAGCCATTAGGTATATTATTTTAGGTACATGTAATTGCCTGGACAAAGAGCTCTTTCTCTAGGAATTTCTTTTCTTGCATTTTTGGACATCTTGCAAGAAACGGCTTTGTTAATGTGTTACTCAAGAATCTCTTGGGTTTCTCCTTTCCATTAAAAAAAGCAGGTAAGTGGGATACTTTGCAGGTTGTGTTAGAGAAAATGTAGGTTGATAGTTTATCCTCCAGCCTAACAGTGGTTCTAATAGAGAAAATTTTATGAACCAGTGTTATGCCTTTATTATTTCAAAAAAGAGTGGCTCATAAAATTCTCTATTAGAACTTTCAAGTCTCTTATTTGTCCTATAAGTTTCAAAGAATCAATAATTCATACCCATGCAGTTACTTTTGAAGTGTATCAACATATAGTGAGTATCCTTCATTCATTGGTCTTACAGGTGGCTATCTTAGATGGCATTACCATGGGATGTGGTGCTGGAATCTCTCTGCCAGGGATGTTTAGGGTCGTAACAGATAAAACTGTATGTCCTATATACTTGCAAATGCAACTTTAACAGATGTTTTGACATATCTTTTGTGAGTTGATGATAAAATCTTTATGCGATTGAATATTATTATGCTTAGAACCAATCAGAAGTAGAATTTTCTTAGTAAAGTTGCTTTCAGTCTTTTGTACTGCATTCAGGTGATAGTTCTTTTGCAGGCTTTTTCTCATCCAGAGGCCCAAATGGGGTTTCATCCTGATGCAGGAGCTTCCTTTTATCTCTCTCGTCTACCTGGTTACTTAGGTAATTATCCAACTTCAGTTTTCAGTATTTAGTTGTTTGCATAGCTTGACAATGTTCTTTGGTTTGAATTGTTTTTCTTATTGTATTGTGTGCTTGTCTAAGGATTAAATTGAAAATTCCTTCATTTAGTGAACCTATGTTCTAGTTTACCTTTGGATGGCTAACTTTAGTTCTCAACTCAGGTGATCGGATTAGAGAGAGAACCTTATGAAACATTTTTCTCTAGAGGTTTATGCACTCTTTTTCTAGTTAGAACCTTAAGTCAGAGAGCTTCAACCCATATCTTTTTTCAAGAATGTCTCCGCAGTTGGTTTATCTTATTTTTTTTCGTTCTGATTTCAGCCAAATGATTGCTAATTGGTATAGGGAATGATATACGGGAAAATAGTTCCATTCATAACCGTAGGATAGGTACTTGGAGAAACCATCATTCAAATATGTCGTAGCAACATATTTTGAATCCAATTGGAACTTTGATGTGCATGCTACACATCATCATACACACATCACCAATGGAAGCCTCATGTCCTATATCCACAAATGTTTTGATGTTACCTCATCAAGGAATCAAATGCAACAGAAACAATGTTTTTCTTTTTTGTGGATGGTTTTCTTATCTCTGCAATATTGTCTTTAAGATTTTGGATACTGGATATTCAGTATTAGGATTGCTCTGGGAATGATATCTGAGATATGCTATTTTTGCAGGGGAATACTTGGCTCTGACGGGAGAAAAACTTAATGGTGTTGAAATGATTGCTTGTGGCCTAGCAACTCACTATTGCTTAAATGCGGTAAATTTGTTCATATCCTGTTTTATGTTTCGATAGCTTTCTTACATTCTGCTACACAGCCTTAATTAGTGAAAATATTTGGCAGAGACTTGGTTGGGTTGAAGAACACATTGGCAAATTGGCAAATGATGATCCTTCTGTTATAGAAACTACTCTTGGACAATATGGTGACCTTGTTTACCCAGACAGAAGCAGCATCCTTCATAAGTAATTTCTGACTGTAGCTTAATTGTGCCTATGTAATACTGTTAATCTTGTTGAATATGGATAATGGAGTTTCAAGTGCATGAATAAGTGTTTCTTTTTTCTTTTTCTCTCTTTTGGGTGAAAAAGAAATTTCTTTTTATCTAACATAGATTTTTTTCTTTTTTCGTTCAGGATTGACACAATTGATAAATGTTTCAGCCATGACACAGTCGAAGAAATTGCTGATGCGTTGGTGAGCTTGTCTCGATGTACATATATGTCCATGCATAAATATATAAGGAAATCTTCTTGTGTTCATTGATGAGGTTGAACTGAATAAACTAACAACTAATGTGAGAGTTGCCCACACTCCCATCTTAGATTGTCTCCATTTTCTAGGGGAAAAATAGTATCACACTTATGTGTAGCATAGAAACAAAGTTAAGATAGTTATTTATTCTGCATTTGGTCACTCAAACAAATGAAAGTTTGGTGTTAAATGTTGATTTCCACGTAATCGTGTTGAAAGCAACTTTTTGTTTATTGTTGATCCAATTTCCTAGTGAATTTCTGTTTTAGTTATATTAAAATGTTGCTCAGGAAAATGAGGCGGCCACTTCCTCTGATGAATGGTGTACAAGAATGCTAAAAAAAATGAAGGCGGCCTCCCCTTTGAGCTTAAAAGTCATTTTACGATCAGTAAGTTGCCAATTTTAGCATATTGTTTGTTACCGTTCAAACAAGAATTTCTTTGACTTTGATTCCTTTTGTTATATTTTAGATAAGAGAAGGTAGATTTCTCCCTCTTGATCAATGTCTTGCACAAGAGTATCGGATATCCCTCCGTGCTATCTCAAAACAGGTCTCTAATGACTTCTACGAGGTACGGACTCTTTAGTTTCTTATGTAGACTGAATATTACTGAATTGAGAAAAATTACAGTGTTACTTCCTGTGTTTTATAGCCTTAGTTTCTGTTTGCTATAGTTTAGTGTCTTATCATTTGATTTTTTGTCGTCTTGTCTAAGGTCCTTAATTTTTTAAAACAATGGTCTTTTCTTTTGATTATTCTTTTGTTATAATTTTAATTTACTTAGCATTGAACTTCAATGTTTTTATATTTACAAACTCAAAAGCCTGTAGGTATCTTATAGAAAACTAAGGTTTTCATAAAATGACCAAAATCAAAGTACAAGATACTAAACTCTTACTAAAAAAAAGGTCATAGAATTTGAACTACAATAAAACCAAACCACAGATGACTAAAACTGTACTTTGCCTTGGATTTTTTCTTATTATATTATCTTTACAAATTATTTATATAGGGCATTCGGGCACGTTTGGTGGACAAGGATTTTGCTCCGAAGGTACTGAAATCTGATTGTACTGCTCATCTCCAAATTGCCTATATTCTTCTTTGCTTATGAATCTGTAAATCCCAAATGTGCAGTGGGATCCCCCAAGTTTAGAAGATGTGAGTAAAGACATGGTGGACTTTTATTCCTTACCACTTCAGGAACCTGAGCCTGAGCTGGAGCTACCGACAGCAACACGAGAACCTTACATTTGAAGTGCATTCACATACAATTAGAATATGAATGTTATAATTTGTGGTCTAGACATGTGAAAGTTTTTCTGATTTTTTCTAGTTTCCTTTTATTCTTTTTCTTAGGACCACGGTTCTTGGATCCATTGATGTCTGAGAGAGATGAGGTTAGGAACTATTTTATAGAACAGGCATCTAATGATGTAATATCTTTTTTGTTACTGTTAGTAAGCTATCAAATAACTTCATATTCAATGATCGTTTTAATTTTTCTTCAAAAAATAAAGAAAAAATAGCACCAAAATATATTCTGTAAATAATTTCTACTAGTTGCATTAACCTGTGTATTAATATAATTTGATATGATTTCGCATGGACAATAGTTAAAAGCATCAAACGTTATTTACATAAACACAAGAATCCTGACTGGTTCAATGCCAGACCTAACATAAACTGAAATGATCTTGTGATTCTAACACAATTTAAGATTACAAAACATCTATCAGCTTCGGTGAATTTACATATTGCCTGAGCCTGGCCTTCGTGCTAAAAGCTCAAGTGAAAAACAAATCCTGATCTAATCAGCATGAATAACTCTGAACTTTACAACCAGCAGGCAACAAAATAAAACAAGTTCTTTTAACAGTTATGTGACAGTAGATGGTTTCTAGTGACACCAGGAACTCAACAGAGTCGGGTTTCAAATTTCAAACTGATACCCATGCTGAAAAGTTCCTGGCACAATAATTTGGCTCCATATGGGACATTAACCCTAACAATATGATCCACAGTTTCGCAGATATGACAATATGGACCTCTTACTTTGCGGCCACCAGGAACTGCCCTCTGGATCACATTAGCAACATTTTCGCACTTTTGGCAAACATGCATTTGAGAGGAATCACTGAGCGTGAAAAGACGTTCGTGCAAATTTGCTGATGCACCATGAGCTATGAGGCAATCTCGCTCCATCTCGCCAAACTTGACCCCACCAAATCGCTTCCGGTCGGCTACTGGCTGTCGTGTGAGGGGGTGGACAGGTCCAGTGTTGCGGAATTTCACTTTGTCTTCGGCCATGTGAACCAGGCGCTGATAAAATGTTGGGCCCATAAATATGAGGGACTGGACCATTTCGCCGGTTCGACCATTATATACCCTCTCATTTCCCCATCTTGAAAATCCAGTCCTGCCAGATATTCGATAAGAAGAAAAAGACTTGGCCATTAAACATGGAAATAATCTGTAATGCATGTCGATTAATCTGAAAAATCATGCAATCTGGGAAAGAAGACTAAACAGAATCTAAATGAGCATTTGATTAAGCTTAAAATACAGGCTGTTGAAGATTTCTTTAAATAAACTTGCATTATTTTAGTTCCATATTTACTGAAAGTATTATAATAAGTGGTTGTATTAAAATAAAAAAAATAACAACTTTATTACATCTAAAAGAACTTGGACTTGAAAATGTAACTACCAAATCATTTGACTGTAGTATGCATATTTACTTTGTCAACTACAGTTTTTTATGAAGGTTGTCATTGCACCTTAAAAATTGCCTAACTTATAAGCTCTTCAATATCCGCCAACCACATTAATAAATTAAAAAATGTCTCAAAGCATATACACTCTTCCAAAATAAGAGCCATGTGTCCTTTATAAGGTTAACTGTCTGCAATCAGCAATGGAAAGGGGAATAGACCACACCATCTATGATTGGTATAGATGTTTCCTAAGAGGGGTAGCATCCTAGCACTTTCCATAAACAAAATGAAAATGGAATGAAAAATCTCAGCATACTATAAGCACGATGCACTCCCAAATGGGGCAAAGCTTGATAATGATACCTGTGGAGCTGCTCTGTGATAGCCTCAACCGAGAGGGTAGAAAAAGGGGTGGCATATTTCATCACTCCACCCCAACCAATCCCCTTACCAAGAGCAGCTTCTAATAGTTGACCAGGTGTTTGTCGTGAAGGAAATGCGTGAGGATTTATCACAATATCTGGAACTATCCCTTGCCTTGTGAAAGGGAAATTCTCTTGTGATTCCAAAAAGCCCAGAACACCCTTTTGCCCATGCATACTAGAAAACTTGTCTCCAAGGCAAGGAGAACGAACCTGCACCACCAAGTAAAGATCATTACAAAGGTACGCAGGGGTTTCTACCGAGATTTATTGATGCCATTATAGTTATGTTTTGTCCACACCATTGATTGTACAAAAAGAATCAAGTCCAGTAATACAGAGATGTCCTACCTGCCTCAGGGATACCACAGCAAAATTTTTTCCATCATCATTAGAAGACAGTACTACTTTCTGCACCATGCCCTTTTCTGTATGTTTCAGTTTTATACTGTGATCAGCCCCAGATTCAGCACATCTCCCAATGACAATATCACCACTTTGCAAGTTAGCACCAACGAACGGAAAACCATCATCATCAATGCTGTCAACTCGACCAAGTTTACTTTGTATCTTCCCAAAATTCACAGGATCATCAAATTTCCGTCTCTTATCCATCAATTCCTTGTTTTCAACCTCAGCCTTGTAACTTCTAATGTGCTCAGTTCGAAACATACCACGCTGTAAAGAAGCTTGGTTCATCACCAAGGAATCCTCTTGGTTGTACCCCAGGTGGACGTTGACAGCCACAATAGCATTCTGGCCATTGAACAATTCTGGTCTTGGAACTATTCCATCATGACCTAAAGGATATCCTGCTTTGCCAAGACAATCAGAAGTCGTTGTCCGAAAAAGGGGCCTTTGAGGGTAGAACAATTGGTGAGACAGGGTATCCACTCTAATGCTAGGATTCGTGGTAGAAAAACCAATAGCCTGCTGAGAATGCTTCTGAGCCTGGTAGAGAACCCTCCTTGCATGATCATGATTTGCAAATGGTATAATTCCACAACTTAAACCTAGTAAGAAAGACATGTCCAGCTCACAGTGAGTATACTTCTCAGGCTTTTCAGGCCGCTTCCCATCATTTGCAGTTTGCTTTCTATCAACTTCCTCTAAAAGATATTTAATACTCCATGCAGTATGACAGTCTTCTTCTTCTTCTGTCCCAACAAGCTCAATGATCCCCATGTCCAAAAGACTTTCAAAAGAGTACTGTTCTCCCTTGAGCAAATTTGTTTTGCTTAAATTCTCCACAACTAGTAGAGGACGAAGTATCCTTCCAGCATCAGTGAATATTCGCACCTCTTCTTCCTTTACATCTCTCTTTATTTCCATCTATAAGGAAAATTCATTATTAAATAATTACAGAAGAAAGAACTTGGTAAGATAGAACAGAATTATATGCACTGCATAATTACTCCGTCTAAGAACCAAATCAAGCATTTTAGATTTGAGATTTTGAGATTATATTTTGGCATTTATGAATAGGGTATCCTAGTTTACTTATTGGATAGATTATAACTATGATTATTACACAAACATTGAGTACTACTTTGACCATTGAGATTTGAGTCTCTAATTTTGGTTCTTAATATATTTCCCTTGAGTGCTACTCCTATATCAGTAAGGTTTCCTGAACTCTCTCTCCTCCGTGATTAGTTCCAACTGCCAGCCTCTAGAGTGGAATAAATATGGCAACCACATTTAAAATGAGATAAACTGAAATTCTAATATTTGTACAAATATTAGATAAAGAGAACCTGATGATGTAACTCCTGCTGCCGTCTTCTGCTTCTCAACTCAGCTACAAAATAAGCAGAATCTTCACAAACTCCAATCCAATCCCCATTGAGAAAAACTTTATGTTTTCCTTTCAGGGAAGTAAAAGTATCATTTACCACACTCTCCATTCCACACTCAAACAATTTGTCAACTATAGGTTCACGTATCTCTGTACTAACAAGTCCTGTAACAGACAAGTTTTTCACAAGCCCACAATTTTCACCATCAGGAGTAGAAATAAAGCAAACTCTGCCCCAGTGAGAAGGATGTCTGCATTCAGAAAATAACAGTATAGATAAATCAAAACCATTCTTGACAGATACCTGAAACATCAAACACAGTCTAACAGTCCAAGCTCTTCAAGAATCAAGTCTGCTCATATTGGAGCAAAAAAGAATAGTATCTCCACGTTCACATTCAAACATCTGATCATGTTAGATGCCAACAGAAAGAACAAACACAATACATCAACATATTATACATAGATGATTAGAGAAAACATTAACAAAAATTTCAGATAACTATCCGTCAGTTATATGTAAACCAGTTATGTTTATCAGTCACAAAAATATTCAAGCAACCATATCTGACAGTTGGAAACAGTTGGGTATAATGATGAACGCAACAAAGATCATGACATGGTCATCACACATCATTGAGTTAAGTAAGGTTTCGACAAAAAAGTTAACCATAAGGATGAGCATAATCCATTAAATGATAAGAGCAGCATAGTTCAAAAGAACTTACGGGTATCTGGCATCTCCCACCTTCCCTGTGTACTGAACCTGTTGTCGTGTTTTCCTCATATCAATCATTGTCTGTAAGGGGTTTGCTCGCCCAAGATTAGCCACAACGCCGGAAATCCTTTCCATCCGTTTGAAAGGGTGTGACCATGCCCCAGTTGAGAATGCTCTTTGAAGGCCATTGGTAATTATTGACGCATCCAAGTAGTGTTCAATAGGCTTTATATCATCTCCATTTAGGTTCTTCTGAAAAGCCTTTGTCATGCTCTTCCTTGCATGTGCAAGATGCACCTTTAGCTCTCGCTCAAGCAACTCACCAGCCAATTCTAGCCTCTTGTTCCTAAAATTATCCCTATTATCACATTTTCTTTTTCCAGTATAGGCTAATAAAAGACACTTCACCATGTAACCAAGAAACCGAGCCTTTTGTTTTAGGCCATGGAGAGTGGGAAATAGGTACAAGCTCAGGCACTCTTCTATACTGTCACCAGGTGGAAACCTAGTATCTTTTATTAGTTTGCCTACATAATGTAAAGCTTTCTTCCCTCTCCGGAAGCCCTCACATTTCTCATCAGCATCATGAATTGAAGCAAAGAGCACATTTATTATATTGGCATCATCACCATCATAATCAATCAGACCTATTATTTCCCTGTCTGATGAAACACCAAGGGCAAAGAACAATATCCACAGAGGGATCTCTGTTGACAAAAGGTATACAGCAAGAACTTTCTCTCCTCCTTTAACATCTTCAATTTTAGAAACCCCTACGAGTCTAATGATTAATCTGTTCCTCTTTACTTCCGATCTATATGCAACTGTCCAGCCCTGACTATTTGAAACCCACAGTCTCTTCAAACAGATTTGCTCTTGTGCAACAAAAACCTGCAACAGTATGACGTAAAGTAACATAGTGGCAGCAGAACGAAAATGACATCCTTACAGAGAAAACAGAAACTGTGTCATATTTACATCATAATCAACACTCTCTGGTGACTAAGACCATATAGAAATGAAGCCACAAAAAATTGAAAGCTAAAGCACATATGGGCAGTAACATCAGATACCACAATTTAGGTTCACTTGACTCTAATACTTGCTAATGGTACGAAATTTGGGATCTGGCTCCAATATCTAAAGCCAACACATAATTTAAAGGTCAAGCCTGGCAGGAAGCAGTTGCAAGTACTGATAGTAGTGTACATATCTCCGGTACACACAATTACGAGAAAAGTTTCAATCTTGAACTCTGTAATTGCAGGCCCTCTGAAGAATGTAGCTTAAAGTAAATGGGTAAATGTTTATTTCAGAAGATATTCGGTTCCTTAAGATTACAATCCTGAAATAGTTATTTGATTAACTGAACAAATTGCATGTTTGTAAATGTTCACCCCAGTGAGAGAGGGGGATGGTGAAGAGGTTAAAAATGAAGTACATAACAAAATGCCAATAAAAATTACATAACTTTATAGCTAACCTTTTCTGCGCCCTTAATAATGAAATAGCCCCCATGATCAAACTCACAAT